CTTTTTTTGAGGCACAGTCATGCTATGTAGTTGAGGCTGGCCTTGGGCTCCTGGTGACCCTCTTGCCTCAGCCTCCCAAGTGCTGGCTGGGATTATGGTTTTGTGCAACCGCAGTGGACTGTGTTTAAAGTTCTTACTTGATGACTCCCGTCTGCAGGACATGGTGATCTCACCCCTCATGGGGAGCTGGTCTCGATGGGACACATCGTACTGCTTTTCCTCCCCCTTCCTCCCCCTCGCTCCACCTTTTGATCCCTTTCTCATCTGCAGAAGATCTGTCTCCTCATTTCTGTTATTCATCCTTTATTTTGCTATTATGTATTTATTTTATATGCGGACTGCTCCGTGAGGTCTCACGTTAGCCCGAAGCAGGGCCCTGCAATCCTCTTGGAGTCATCCAGTTTCACTCTGCATGTTGCTGAGGCAGGCACTTTTGCTTTTAAAAAAATGATGCTGGTTGTGGGGGCACATGTATGTGATCCCAGCATTTGGGAGGCTGAGGCAGGAGGATCCCTAACAGTTCAAGGTCCCTGGACTACATAGAGAGACCCTGTGTCAAAATAAACAACCCCCCCCCAAAAAGCAAAGTCAACCTTCCTCCCTGTGTGGTGGGTATGGGGTACCCAGCCTTCTGTTCTCCACCCACCCTTCCCTTCTCCCCTCTCTAGGGCTAGGAGTACAGTGCTGCTTCCCCTGAAAGCCTGGACATGAGCAGAAGGAGAAAGATGCCTGAGAGGGAGAATGGGGAACCGAGGAAAGTGGGGTTCTGGGGTGGTGTAGGCCGTCCTCCTGGGGAGGTGACTGTCCTTCCTCTGGATTTCTTGGTATAGGAGACAAGTCAAACGCTAGCCGTGTGTCCAGGAGTCTGTTTCTCATGGAAGACCTGAGTTCCTCTTTTTGTTTTTTTTAATCAGTCCCGGGGATCAAACTCACAACCGCCTGCTTGCAAGGCAGGTGCTTATGCCACTGAGCTAAATCCCCAGCCCCAAGACCTCAGTTCCTAAAGGGTAATCAGTGTGCTTCATCTCTGCTGTGGTAGGAGCTTTGGCTAGAGCTCCAGCAGCATTTTTGTGAGTGTTGGATGCTGGGAAGGGTTCGGGTCCTGAGGCTGTGGGTATGAATGGGAGGTGTGAGCACAGTGTATGTGTAAATGTATTTTTTAAAAACAATACTGTATTACAGTAACAGACACATTGCAGCAGGGCATGGAAGTCCCCGTTTGTGAGCATCTATACAAATATGGGTGAACGCTCCTGCTGAGCACCGTCCAGCAGAAAGGCAGGCTCATAAGCCCAGAGCGCGTCCTCCTGGACCTTGTTCACCACATCTAGCACTTCCGGCTCTTCCCTAAGATCAAAGCGCCTGGGAAAGGGAGTGCTGCGAGTGGATTTGGGGTACAGAAGCAGCCATAACAGCACCGCTGAAGACACATGCAGAAGAGGGCTTCCAGAACTGCGGCCGAAATCGGCAAGGACGGTGGGACCCGTGTGTCTGAAGGGGATTCAGGCCAAAGTGTCTTTTACCTTAACGGACATTTGGAAATTTAAGCTTTCACCGCAGTTTTCAGTCACACCTTGTATGCGGCTACCTAAAGGGACCCATAGCCCCAGTAACCTTGGTCAGAAGTTCCAGGCTTCTGCTGGGACCAAACCCTGAGCACCCACAGCCTGAGCAGCCCGGTTGCTTTTCTCTTGTTGCTGGGACAAAATTCTCAACACCCAGCATTCAGGTTGATTTAGCTCACAATGTGTGGAGGTTTCAGTCCATCATTAGCTGGCTCCGAGGCAGGGTGGCCCATGGCACAGGGGTAACGGTTCAGGGGGGCGGGAAAACAGCAAAAGACAACAAGAGCAAAGAGGGAGAAGCCTAGAGAGGAGACTCTTTCTGTCCCTTAAATTCTATGGAGTATGGGACTGGGGATTTAGCTCAGCGGCATAAGTGCCTGCCTTGCAAGCGCGTGGTCGTGAGTTCGATTCCTGGTACCGGTAAAAAAAAAAAATTCTATGGAGTAGGCCATATCTGCTTGGGTGTGACATTCACACCCATAATCCCAGGACTGGATCAAAATTGTTCACAAACTCTAGAAGCCTAAGCTTGTGACGGCATGCGGCTTGGGGGGCATCCAAGCACAAACCATGAGCTCACCCCTCTGCTGGGTCCTGTGGCTGCTCCAAGGCCCTGGGCCTTCCATTACCCTACCAGGCACCCAGCAGCACCCCATGTCCTGGGTCCTCTGTGGCTTCAGCAACGTGACCTTGTTTCCTGATGGGCCTGCAGCGTGTTCTCAGAAAGAGTTGGGACAGTGCCACGCGTCACCCTGGGAGTGGGAGGTTGTTTTGTTCCTTGGCACTGTGGCCCTGGAAAAGGTGGGAGCTTGGGGCTGGCATCGGGTCACGGGTGAGTGGTTCTGAGGGCGGATGAAAGTGGCCCGAGCAGCTCTGGTGGCCTTGTGACTGGATCACTCAGCCCCATGCTCCTACTGGGTGATGGAAGGGGGGCTGAAGTGCAGCGGGAAGGGGTTTCTGGATGTCTGCGTGGGCCTGTGCCCGGGGCAGACAGAGCTCAGACATCTTGACCATTTCTTAATCTGTGCAGGGACTCTGAGGACAACTGGGACCCAGTGTGACACAGAGACCTGGGCTGTAGGAATGCAATGGTTATGTAATAAGCATTCCCTTCTGCCAAAAATATCAGAGTATTGCAGGAAGGTCTGGTCTTTTCTTTTTTGACGACGTCTTGCTATGTAGTTCGGGCTGGCCACCAACTCTCAGTGATCCTCCTGCCTCAGCCTCTTGAGTGCTGGGATGACTGGTGTGCATCAAAATGCCTGGCTTACCAAGTAGCTTCTTATCTCATATTGCTAGATAAATTGTGTGCGACAGAAAATAAAAGGGGCCCCAGATCCATGCGATGGTCTTGAGAGTCCTGGGTATAATGACATAAGGACCCTGGCCTGTGACACAGATGACTCTGGAAGAAGCCGCAGGTGCTGATGATGGGAAGGGCTGGCATGGTCAGAGTGGGTGTTGCTTAGAACCAGACAGAAGGCTGCAGATTTAGCTCAGCGGCATAAGCACCTGCCTTGCAAGCAGGCAGTCATGAGTTCGGTCCCGGGTACCCTTTAAAGAAAAAAAAAAGAACCAGATACAAGGACACAGGGACAATCTGGTATTAGAATCTGTGTGGCCGCTGTCTCCTGAGCAGAGGATGGGAGTTGCAGTGTTACTGAGCTGCGTTCAGAACAGGAAAGCCTGTCACCTATTACCCCAGCATTCAGGAGGCTGAGGCAGGAGGATCACTGGGAGTTCAAGCAGATTCTAGGATACATTGTGAACTCAAGGCCAGCTTGAACTATGTAGTAAGATCCTGTCTCAAAAAAAAAAAAAAGGGTCTGGGGATTTAGCTCAGTGTCATAAGCACCTGCCTGGCAAGCGCCAGGTCGTGAGTTTGATACCTGGCACAGAAAAAAAAAAAAAAAAAGAAAAAGAAAAGAAAAAAAAGAAAAGAAAAACAGTTGAACAAAACAAAAACCCAAAGTAAGCCTCTCCTCCCTTGTGTTGTAGGTATTGGATATTGAATTCCAGTGATGCAGCCGTGACTGCACGGCTATCTGGCTGCTGCCAGGTGGACACACAGCTCAGAAATCAGAAATTTGGGGCTGAGGATTTAGCTCAGCGGCATAAGCGCCTGCCTTGCAAGCAGGCAGTTGTGAGTTCTATTATCCCCGGTACCAATAAAAAGGAAAAAGACAAAAAGAAAAAAAAAGAAAAGAAATCAGAAATTTGTCCAGGTGATAGAACTAACCACCATCACACTGTTTGAAAAACTATAAAGCTCATTTTATTTGTTTGGAGAAGTATAATGTTAATGTGTTACTGTTCATAAATGTGAACCGCTAGAAATATGGCCGTGCTACCAACGCGGGAAAAATGAAGAAAATGTATGTTTATAGAACAGTTAAGACAAGGTCCAGTTACCTTCAGATCCAGACAGCGGTTCCTGTGTGAACCAAAATGCTAACACCTGAAATCATCTCACTTGAGGTCCCAGATGCAAGTTCTGGTGTGCAAATACGAGATTCTCACAAAATCCCACAAGCCCACTCGGGAGGCTGAGGCAGGATTGTTTGAGCTCAAGGCCAGCCTGAACTACATAGCGAGACCCTGTCTCAAAAAGATAAAATTCAAAAAACCCAAACAAACAAAAAGCAATGCCACAAGCAGACTTGACTCCTCCCCCAGACCTTCTGTTCTTCCACTAACGCATTTTTTTTTTTTTTTTTTTTTTTTTTTTTTTTTTTTTTGTCTCTCACACTCAGGAAACACAGCCACAAGCTTTTATCTCACCCCCACTCACAGGTGCGACAGCATGACCAGCAGTGACCAGCTGTATGGTCTCTCTTTGTTCCAGACCCCAGCGAGGTCTTGCTGTGACGCCCCAGCTCACAGAAGCACAATAAGGGCCTCTGGAGCCCTGGGCGCAGCCGCACTGCCACTCCTGCATGACTACAGGGTCACGCAGGTCAAACAGCCAAGCCACACCATCGAGGTGGGCGAGATGCCCCACCTTCAATGGCAGGAAGCACAAGGGCACAGAAACAAGGAGCACGAAGAACAGGGAGCAAAGATGCCACCTGCAATCGCTCGTCACGATCTGTCAGCTTCATTTGAGCGAGCACAGCCTACCGGATCAGCCAGTTCGGGGCGTATCCGTGAATGACTGACATGTCACGATCTGTCAGCTTCATTTGAGCGAGTACAGCCTACCGGATCAGCCAGTTCGGGGCGTATCCGTGAATGACTGACATGTCACGATCTGTCAGCTTCATTTGAGCGAGTACAGCCTACCGTATCAGCCAGTTCGGGGCGTATCCGTGAATGACTGACACATAGACGCCCACTGAGGAGGGAAGGCCCGCCCCGGATGTGGGCGGTACTGGCCAATAGGCTTCGAGCTGGATGGAATAAAAAGGGAACGGTTTCCTTTTGCTATTTTTAGAAGCCAGGGTCTTCCTGGCCTTTTGACCTCTCCAGTGCTTTCAGGCTTCCAGCGCAGACCCTTAGGTTTTTGGCTTAGACTCATACATGACTCTGCAGTGGGCTCAGGCTTTGAGCTTGGCCTGGATCCTCCGCCCTCCAGCGAATAGACGGCCATTCCGCCCTCTCCACCCCGATGCTGCAGGTGGCCATTGTAAGCCTCCTTGTAAGTCCTTTATGTCGCCACTCAGTATTTTACATTTAATCTGTGCCTCGCGGGAATCCTAATACACCACCTGCTCTGGGAGGTTTGCTCACCAGTGGCAGGCGCGTAGGTGCCGAGTGTAGACACGCTAAGAGCCGAGAGATGGAGCCTGCCTCAGGCTTCTCGGCTCTGGTGGGACTCAGTGACTCTGGATGGGAACCAATATGGGGACTGGAGGAGGGAGGGTGGCAGAGGGCGCACGACCTGGCAGTGAAGGAAGCAGAGCAGCTGAGGAAAGGACCAGGAAGGACTCTTTTCTTCTTCCTCCTCCTCCTCTTCTGTCCTTTTACTTTTCTTCTAATTACTACATGTTTACAGTACATAATTATCGCATTCCTTGTGGGAACTCTGAGACAGGGAAATAGAGCGGGCAGGGTGCGGCGTGGGGAGGGACTGAGAAATGGGTGAAGTGGGAGGAAAGGAGGGCCTGAGAAAGCTTTGAAAGGCTGTAAAGAAAGAAGCTGTCTCCTAAGTGTGGGGAGGGGAGGGATCCTGGAGGAGCAGAGGGAGAGGAGGACACATGCTCAAAATGAAGGCCCAGAGATGGAGAGTTTGTGCAAACTTGTCCTCAGTGTGATAAGCCATAAATAGGTATGGTTTTTTGCTGGGACAGGAAGTGGTCCCCAAGATAAGAAGATCCTGTGTGGGGCCTGGCCCACGGAGTCACAGTCAGGTGAGGTGACAGACCGTGGTCTAACCTGGTCAGGTCCTCACCTTTTAACCTTTTAGACTGACGGTAATCGGTAATCAGTTCCAAAATTCGTGTTTCTGGGTCATCACCAAAGGCACAAGTGGAGTTCCTGTGGATTACAGGAAGGGCCCTGCCCGTGAGAGCTTTAGAGCTCTAGGGACGTGAGAGCTTACAGTAAAAGCGCTGCCTTGGGCTGTCTAAGGACATGAGAGTCCAGGGAACGGGAAGAAAACCCGTGTGGGGCCTGGCCCAGCTCTGAGTAATCTCTAGAGTTTGCTCACCTGTGGTAAATGAATTAGACCAATGTTGTTTGCAAACCAGCAGTGACAAGTTTAGCAGCTCTTGCTTGTTGAGAAGTGAGGAATTAATCCAGGATGCTGTCTGGTCCTGAACGGCAGGGGATTCACCAGCAGTCTCTCATCTGCCATTCCTGGCCAGGAAACCATCTGATAGAATTTTCGGTGTGGAAGGGAACCGTCTGATGGAATTTTCGGTGCTGCTAAAAAGATAAAAAAGTACGAAATAAAAGTGGCCTTTATTTTAAGAATGTGGAGAGAGACCCTTTGACTCTCCGGTGTCTGACATCATCTGTGCCAGACACGTGGTGTGGGGGCATACATGTAGCTTAGATTTGGGGTGGTGCCTAAGGGGCATTACTGATGCACAGGTAGCCCATTGGTATTCATTTCGTGCCACAGGTAAATTGCCTAGGGGTGGGGAAAGGTGACCTCAAGATAGAGCCCCTTGGTTCTGCCTCCCAGACTCCCTCTGCTACAGTGTCCCGTCTGGGGCAAAATCTTTTCACTACAAATGCCTTGAGTTTGCCCTTCTTTATGAGAGAGTAGTACTCCATGGTGCACGAATGCCATCCCACTCACTTTTACTTTATTTTATTTCATTTATTTATTTTTTTGGTACCGGGGATTGAACTCACAATCTTTGTGCTTACCAGGAAGCACTTTAAGCCACCGAGCTAAATGCCCAGCCCCCCACTCACTTTTAAACAGCAATGTTACTGGTACATTTTAGAGCTAGATGGTGAGCACAGTTCACCTGGAATTTGCACCTGCACATGATGTATCTTGATTCTTGCTTTTTTCGCCCTTTCTTTCTCCTCCCTTAGTCTCTCGCACCCATTTTTTTTTTCTTGAGACAGGATTTTGCTACATAGTTCAGGCTGTCTTTGAACTCACTGTGTAGCCCAGCCTGGCCTTGAACTTGAACTCACAGTGATCCTTCTGCCTTAGCCTCCTGTGAGCTGGAATTACAGGTGTCCACCACCACGCCATCCATTCACTATTTTTTTTTTCCGGTATCGGGGATCGAATTTACAACTGCCTGCTTGCAAGGCAGGTGCTTATGCCTCTGAGCTAAATCTCCAGCCCTTATCCATTTACTTTGATGGGTAACTGTCTACTATTGTGAACTGTGCTGCCACAAACACAGCGTGCATGGGTCACTGAGTATGATGACTTTAACTCTTCCAGAGAGACCCTTAGAAAGGGAGCAGCTGGGTCAAATGAAATTTCTAGTTTTAGTCTTTTTGAAGCTTTTTTTGTTCGTTTTGAGTCAGGGTCTCACTAGGTAGTGCAGCTGGCTTTGAACTCACTGTGTATCCCCAGGCTGGCCTTAAAATCATGGGGAACCTCCTGTCTCAGCCTCCTGAGTGACGGGATTACAGGTGTGTGCCACCATGCCTGGCTCTAATTTTTTTTTGTTGTTGTTGTTGTTCCAGAGGTCGAACTCACAACCTTGTGCTTATCAGGCAAGTGCTTGAGCCACTGAGCTAAATCCCCAGCCCTTATTTTGTTTTTTGAGGTCTCTTCCTACTGATTTTCATAGTGATTGTACTAGTTCACATTCAAACCAAGACAGTAGAAAGTTCCTTTTTCCTTGCAGTCTTCCCAACATTCATTATTATCTGATTTCCTTCCTTTTTTGGGAGGGTCTTTTGTGAGACAGGGTCTCCCTATGCAGTTCAGGAGGCCTTGAACTCACTTTGTAGCACAGGCTGGTCTTGAACTCTCAATGATCCTCCTGCCTCAGCCTGCCTGGTGATGGTGTGCACCACCACTCCCAGCCCCCAGTTTGCATCTCCCTGATGGCCAGCAGTGTTGTACTTTTCTTCATATATCTATTGGCCATTTGCACTTTTTAAAAATTTGTACTTTTTCTGAAAGGCATCTATTCGTTTCACTTGCCCAAAGTTTGATTGGGTCTTTTATTTTGGAGGGTCTTTTTTTTTTTTTTTTTTTTGTGGTTGTGTTGGGGATCAAATCTAGGGTCTTAGGCTGGAGATTTAGCTCAGTGACTCCAGTGCTTGTCTGGTAAGTGCAAGGTTCTGAGTTCGATCACTGGTACCAAATCTAGGGTCTCCTACATGTAAGGCAAGAGTTCTACCCCTAAGCTAGGTTCCTCAGCCCAGTTTTTGAGTTTTTGTTTGTTTTTGGTACAAACTCAAAACCTAGAGCGTGCCAGGAAGGCACTTATGCCACTGAGCTACATCCCCAGCCGCATTTGAGCTCTTAATATAATCTAGATAGCCAGGTGTGGTGGCGCATGCCTGTAATGCCAGCACTTGGAAGGCTGAGGCAGGAGGATTGCTGTGAGTTTGAGGCCATATATATATGTCAGGAAGGTGCTTATGCTGCTGAGCTAAATTCCTGGCCCCTGAATTTTTTCTTTGTAATGAGAGACTTGAGCTGGGTTGAACCTGGCCTGTAAGTCTGGTGGAGAGGGAAGAGCTGAAGACACAGGCGAGGCTGCTTGGTAAGGGGAACCCAGGAGAGAGACCTTCGGGGTGGGAAGGAGGGAGGGAGGGGAGCTTGAGGGCCTGCCGGGCTGCTCTTGGCTCTGATGGATTGGAGATGAGCCCGCCTGCCCCGCCCCCAGTTGACTGCCCCAGCCCCTGCCCTGGTCCCAGCTGTGTACTTTCATCCTGGAAATGTCACCAGGACAGGTTGGTCACCGTTGGACAGAGCCACCCCCATCTGCTTTCTCGCTGTCTTATCTAGTGTATTCTCAATTTTTCTCATTTGCACATTGTCACAAAGGTACGCTTTTTTGGTGTGTTTTTGAAATAAGATTTTAGGGCCGAGAACATAGCTCAGTGACCAGCGCCTGCCTGGCAAGTGCGAGGTCAGGAGTCCGATCTTTGGCTCCAATAAAGAAGAAGGGAGGATGGAAACAGAGTCTCACTGGGGAGCCCAGGCTGGCCTTACCCTTATGACAATCCTCCTGCCTCAGCCTCCCCAGTGCTGGGACCCCAGGCGTGCACCACTGGGCACGGCTCAGTTCCAGGGATGCTTGGCCCATGTTGAGAACCAGTGCTGTTTGCTTCCAAAGGAGAAAGGGGGTTTCTGGGATCCCAGAAGCCATGCCTGAGCCCCAGCCCCTGGCCTCCAATCTTTGAGGGAGATCTGTTCCTGGTTTACTCCCCAAAATGCCCTAGTGGGAAAGTCTGGTGTTACTGAGATCCGGGCCACCGAGCCCTTGTAATCTGTGACTCATGCTATTATCATATGCTATCTTGGGGACAGTGTTTTGTCCCTGGGTGACATTAGCCTTGGAGATGTGGGCCAGGTCAGGAGCTCCGGGAGCTGGAGAGAAAGGGACGAATGTGTGAGGGAGCCTGGTGAGCTGGTGCATCCCTGTTCGCACAGCACCCTGGAAAGCCGAGGTAGAAGGGTTGCAAGTTTGAACCCAGCCCAGTAGTAACTACCTCTGTTACTTTTCTCATGGCTGCCACAAAATACCCGACAGCCAAGGTTAAAAAGATGAAGTTTATTCAGTTTGTAGAGGCTTCAGTCCATAGCTGGCCAGCGCTAAGGCAGGGTGGCCCGGCAGAGGGCCATCTCTGAGGAGAAACAGCCGGAAGGCAGCAAGCAACCGGCAGTGACCCTCCTTCTGGCTCTTGTCTGCTGTGGGCTCCGTACCCATCAGGCACGTGGCACTCATACCCAGGGTAGGGCCTTGGAATGCTCTGTAATTCGGTCCCGGCATTGTATCCCAGCAGCGCACACCCAGGTTCCAGGCAGTTCTGAGAAGCCCTGCCTCTGACCACAGGACTTTCTGGGGAGATGTTTAGATTTGCGCCACAACAACAACTTAGCAAGATTTGCCTCAAAAAGGACAGAAGGCAGGGCTGAAAATGTAGCTCAGCTAAAGCCCTGGGTTTGGTGTGTACTACTGCAAGGCAAACCGAGCACAGGAAACACTCCCAGGTGATTAAAGCCGAGTCTGCTGATAGACCCTGCTGTGCCTTAGTAATGAAGTGAATGAGCCCCTGGCGCATTGAGAGCTAAATATACAAAAGATAAAAGAAATCAGATGTATTGTATGAGTACTTTTTCTCATCTAATTCAAGAAATATATAACATAAGCAATTAAGTACGCCATACCAAACTTGGCCGTTTTTGTCTGTTTTCTGAGACAAGGTCCACTGTGTGACCCAGGCTGGCCTCGAATCCACGGCGACCCTCCTTTCAGCTTCCTATGAGCTGGAGCTGTGCACCGCCACACGGGCTCTAACGTAATACTTTGTGCAGGGTGGACCTCAGGGCGACGAACAGGACTCAACACCAGCCTCGGCAGCTCACATGCTGACCCTGTGACAACACAGGGAAGTTGGCAGGGCTCCCGTGCGAGGGTGACACGCAGACCCACAGCTAAGCTCCGGAGATGACTGTCACAGCGATCAGCTGGTGTTCTGGGTTCTAGAAACCTGAAGAAGGAGCTGGCGGCTGACCATCAAGGCTGGGGATGTGGTCAGAGCAGCACTAGCTCAGGAAAGCACACAAGGAAGAAGGCAGGCTGTACCAGGGCGCGCCCCGGCATAACCCCTGCTTTGTTCCTTTCTCTCCTGAGGGATTCGGGGCCTCAGTCTCTCCCGCCAGGCTGGGCGCAGCAGTCACCGGTAAGGGGACCTTTGTTTCTAGTGTCATGAGATGAGGCATGAGAACCCTGAAGCCGCCCAGATTTTTGACTCTCTTGTAAGACTCCATTTTGATTCCCACATCTCTCTTTCCTCCTATTTCACCCATGGCTCGGTCTCATTTTCACTGATCAGTCCTCTAGCAGCGGTTCGGTTTCATTTGTCCTTTGCCGGCTGGATGGAGCCATCCCGATTGGATGGAGGACATTGTGGTTTAAATATGCAGTGTCCTCTGGGACTCATGTGTTGAAGGCTGGATCCCCAGCAGCAATGTTGAGAGGTGGGGCCTGGATCGGTGTCTGGATCATGAGGTGTGATGGTCACCCACTGATGAGTGTGGACAAAGGAGGTCACAGTGCTGTGCCGTTGAAGGGGATCCCGTCCCTGTTCTCAGCGCCTTCCTCTCTCTCTCCTCCTCTGCCGTCCCCTTCCACCATGACGCTCTTTCTGTGGTGCTAACCATGGACTAAACCCTGGGCTGCTCTAATCCCAAGCGAACTGTTCCTCCTTCCCCCGTGCCTGTTGGGCACTTGGTGCTAGTAACGAAAGCCTGGCTCACACACAGGTGACTTGCGCAGCTCCCCAATGAGACAGGAGACGCTTCAGGTGGTAACAGGAACTGCGCTTTATTTACGCGGGCTCTGGTTTATATATTCGGCCGTGACCAATCACAGGCTGCCACGAGGAAGCAGGGCGGGAATGGGATGCAGGCTCTGGCTAATATATCCAGCTGTGGCCAATCAGGGGTTGCCACAGAGTCGGCACAGGGCGAATAGATACGGAGTGAGCACGAGGTGCGCACCGGTTGGCTAATTTAGAGAGGGACGTACGCATTGCGGAAGCTGACGTGGTCTTATCTTCCCGGGCGGGGTGTGTTGAGCGCCTGCGCCCGACACAGAGGGAAGCTGGTGACGAGTGGGGGCTGGCATTAGTCATTTTCCCCACACTCGGCTACAAAACTGAGGGGCTCAGACCCAACCCTCAACCCCTCAGCAGCTTCGGAATTGGAGCACACCCCGAGGGCAGCCGAGCAGCATCTGGGGTGTTGCTTGTGGGCTTGTGCTTTGGCTAAGTTTACAGAGTCTGACAAGGAAAACGCAAAACCAACTGCAAAACTGAGCAAGCCAGATTCAGTTTGAATGGTGATGCTGAGCCCCAAAACCTACGCTTCCCACAAGAATATCCACGTGTACGGAGGACAATCAGCCAGGCGGGGCGCGGTCATGCACCCTGTGATCCCATGCTCAGAGGCCAAGTTGGAGGCCAGCCTGGCTCCCCAGCCACTGCAAGGCCAGTGTGAGCTGCGAGACCAGACCTCGTCTCAAAAGAACAGAGTCAATCAGAAGTCAGTTGGTTCGCAGACTGAGTTAATTTTGGTGAAAATTTGTATTTAAGAGAAAAAACAGTGTGGATATCGAAAGGCAGCCGCTGTAGTTAGACCTGAGGACCACTCACAGCCGGTAAAGAAATGTGGGAGTTGGGTACACAGAGGAATCTAACAGCAGGATTATGACGGAGACACACAGGATTTTTAGACATTTGATACAATCTGGGGGCATTTTTCTTAATGTGTCATGGTGGCGCACACCTATAATCCCAGCACGTAAGAGGCTGAGGCAGGAGGATCACTACGAGGTCAAGGCCAGCCTGCGCTAGACAGTGGGACCCTGTCTCAAAAGTGAAACAAAAATCTATTTTTGTAATTATAGGTCTAAAATGTATCCTATCAGCTGTCGGGGTCCTGCAGAAGTTTCAAAGTCAGTTCTGCACACAAAAGTCTTAATTTTAGAATTGGTTAAGCTTTTAACAATAGTTAAAAACACACGATCCAAGGCTGGAGAGTTAGCTCAGCTGTGTAAGTGCGTTTAAGCGCCTGCCTGGCAAGTGTGAGGTTGTGAGTTCGATCCCCAGTATCAAAAAAAAAAACCCAAAACCAAACAAACAACAAAACCATGTGATCCAGTAGCATCATTATAAAATAAAACCAAGGTGATAAAACAGACCCCCCCCCCATTTGTTTTTTGAAACAAGGTCTCACTGTGTAGCCCAGGCTGGCCTGAAACTCATGGTGATCCTCCTGCCTCAGCCTCTTGAATAGGCAGATTCCTGCTATGCACCACCAGCTCAGTCAAAAAAGTTTAAAAATGCAAAACACAGGAAATGATAGTATGATGTATGCTACCTAAAAAGTGAAAAGGAAAAACAATTTCCTCGTTAAGAGCTGATTTATTTTTTTTTTCTAGCTGAGGTAAGTCTTTTTATCCTTTTGTTAATCTCTTCCACGGTCAACTACTTCCACTGTAGGTGATGAAACGTACAAGGCTCCGCTTCAAATGTTGGCACTGCTGTGGAAAAGTCTTTTTTCCCCTTCAATGCAATTCAGAATTAACACTTTGATTCTTGTCTTATGATCCAGTGTCAGGAGGAGGGTCCACCGCAGAAGTCCCCTACAGACAGTCTCCCGCTTTACAGCAGTGGGCGGTGACAGGCTCTGCCTTCACAAACACCACAGTGCCTCAGTTTACATACGGTTAAACGAGGAGGGTTTCTCTGAGAGGCGTTTAAATGCACTTTATTTTTAGACAACCTGCATGACATGCGTTTTTCCCTAAAAGATAATACCTCCACTCCAAATAAGTCACGGTCAAAATAAATGAAGCCCCAAGACAACCTCAGTCCCATTTGTTTAAAATCCTGGCGATAGGATTTCACCATGGAATCACCACGGAACCCACGAACACTCTTCCACTGCTGAGCCATCCTGGAAGGGAATCAGACGTGGGGTCTCCCCATGCTCACGGTTGTCCAGACAGCCGCCCAGCCCTCGGATTCACGGCTGCGTCAATAAAGAACTGGCAGGTTTTGCAGTCAGCAAGGCTGTGCCTGGTCCACACTGCAGCCCTGTCCTAAGCGGCGTTGCTCTTTCTGGTCCTCGTTCTTCAGGTTTGCTTTGGGTTGATTGCGTATAATCTTCGGTGTACTTCTTGTAGGTGAAGCTGTTCCTGCAAGTGATGGTTGGTGACAATAAACACCAGTGACTTCTGTGCTCTTGGTGCCCTTGGGGCCTCCAGCAGAGACATTCCACCAGTGAGGGAGCCACCAGTGTCACCCTCTGTGCCACGGACCACCCCGCCCTCCACCTCCAGGTGCAGCCCATCCACCGTCTCCCGGATCTTGTGCCTGTCGGAGAACATCTCATCCTGGCTGTGAGGTCCCCATAGATCATCATGGTGGTGGCTGACGGAGGTGGTGGCCGCGCTGGCTTAGCAAGAGCTGAGAGCTCAGGGCAGGGGAGCAGGCGGAAAAGAGCTAATTTAAAGAAAAAGAGCAATTCCCAATGGGTTTGCGTCCGGTTCTGCACCAGTGAACCTTAGGTATCCGTTCAGACGCCACAAAAACTTGGAATCGACAGGGTCACCTTGACCACACATAAAACCTTCCCCCAGCTTCCATTCCTAAGACGATGCTCCTGGGCACTCGGTCAAGGGCCCACTGAGGAAGGTCAGAGACCTAGGGGAGACCACCCTGTCTCAGCCTCTCGAGTGCTGGGCTCGCAGGCGTGCGCCACCATGCCTGGGGAGGTGGCCTCATCTGAGCTGCAGGATGGGGTGGGGGGTGAGGGAGTCACCCGTGGTCCTTAGGAGAGGGGTGCAGGAGGCTATGGGAATCCGCATCTCTGCAGGGACCCCAGGGGCTGCCTCTGCCCCGCCCCATGGCCTGGTCTGGCTGGGAGGGCTGGCTCTATTTTGTCCTTGGTTTGACCTGGAGTGCACCAAGTCTGAGAATGTAAACCTGACAAACAGGTTGCTCAAGGGCCCGGACCCCCAGCACCCATGCCTACCCCGCACCCCGTCCCACATGTTCCTGGGGCTTCCTGCCTTTCCAGGGCCTCTCCCAGCCTTGCCTGGGTTTCGGGGACTTCTCTGAACTCTTGAGACCAGAAAGAAAGAAAGAAAACCAATCCTGCAAGATTGTCTTCACTACAGAACGTTTCCACAGCTCCTCACCTAGAGGTCCTCAAGGCACACACAGGCGAAAGGCCGGCGACACCACGGCGGTGCTTACGGCACCTGGGATGCCAGCCCTCAGGAGGCTGAGGCAGGAGCGTCGCCGCCACACTGGGCTACATAGTGACCCCTGTCTCAACTCTTTCCCCCAAAAAGAATTTCTGTACAAAAAGGGCGCCAGGTTCCAGCTGATGAGGAAAAAGCAGAAAAGGCCAGTTTAGATGCTGGAGGCAACAAGCCCGACGGTGGCAGAGCGGGCACCACGGCGCCCACACAGGCTCAAGCTGACGTACGGGGGGTCCAGGCCTGCACCTCCCCAGGGGACTGTGGCTGTCCCTGCCCCTCCCCACCCCACGGGGCGGTCACCGTGGATGGCCACGTCTTCCTTTGTGCTCCCAGCCGCCCACCTCTGGGGCGGAATCCCGGCCTCCCCCCGGACATCCCTCCTGCTTGGGGCTGGCTCCGCTGAGGTCACCGGAGGACGGCACCTGCTCCACCGAGAGTTCTAGTATTTTTACTCATTGCATTACCCCACTGTGTGGCGTTGGCTCAGGGAGAGGACGCATCTCAAGTCCTGTTCCCCTGCCCCCCCGCTGTCTCCTGTCCCCTTCCCCTCTGATAAAGATCTGTCCCTGCGTCCTGTACCGTCTACTTTGCTGTTTGTTTATGCTTTGGGTTTCCCATTAAAAGGGAAACCATATTATGTTTCAACTCCTGTGCCTGCTTCACTTCACGTAAAGTTATGGTCTCAAGGTGAATCCACTGTTCTACCCGTGACCCAAGCTTATCCTTCTTCATGGCACAGTAGTACTCCGCGGTGTGTAATTTTCATTATTCACTCATCTGTTGCTGGACATACAAGCTGCTTCCAGGTTTTGGCTGCCATGAGTTGCACAGCTATAAGCATAGGTATGTGTGGCTTACTGTAATATGATGACTTTAACTCTTTCATAAGATCCCTAGAAGGGGAATAGCTGAGTCAAATGGAATTCCTGATTGTATCAGCCCAGTCCACTGATGGTATCAAATGTCAACCTCTCAGGGCTTCATCTGCAGCTCAGAAGACTTTTTGTTTGAGACAGGGTCTCACTATGCAGCTCACACTGACCACGAACTCATGGCGATTCTCCTGCCTCAGCCTCCCAAGGCACAGGCACCACCATGCCCAGCCTGACATCTTTTTTCCCCCAAAGGAAACCTTTACTCAAAATAGATTTAAGGCAAGTTCTTGATAAAGGAAGTCAGTTCTCATTCTTGCTGAGCTTAGGAACCGGCCACCAGGGTGTGATCTCAGGTTCTGCCTGGGAGGGAGCCGGCTGTAGGGGAGGAGAGCAGAACAGGAAGAGAGAGCTGGGATTCAGCCCAGCTGCTCAGCACCTGCCCGGGGAAGAAGGTCCTGAGTCCGATTCCTGGTGCCAAGAAAGAACAGGAGGTGAGGACAGGAACAGCACCACAGCACCCGCCTCCGGGTCCACAGGGCCCCAGCTGCCGCATGGACACAGCCCGATCCTGACTCGGCCGAGCCTATGCCCCAGTGCTGCCCCCCCATCCCTGACCCTGCAGAGGCACCCAGGGTGAGGCCCTGCACCCAGGGGTCCCCAAAACTGGTCTATGATGTTATTCCCTGGGGCTCCTGCAGACTTCAGCCTGTGCCTAAGAGGCCTGGGATCATCGCCCCCCTCACCTGGCCCCACTTCCTGTCCTGCCCCAAACCCAGAGGCCAGAAGGAGATGGGGGCAGGGGCTCAGGCTGCTCATGGCGTCTCCCCTACGCCAGCTGCCCTGTACCCCAGGAACATCAGGGGGCACAGGGAGGGCGAGGCTGCTGGCCTGAATCTCTACACCTTCATGAGACCCAGATCGCAGACTCTACTGGGGGCGGAGCGCAGTGGCGCATGCCTGCCACCTCAGCACTCAGGAGGCTGAGGCAGGAGGATCTCTGGGAGTTCTAGGCCAGCCTGGGCTACAAAGGAAAATGCTTTCTCAAAACAAAACAAAACCCCAACTCATACACAAAACAACGTTGAAACTTTTCTGTAGCATTTATATTTCATTTCTTACCAGAGAGACGTTTGCTAATCCAGAGTCGCTCCTAAGACCCTCATTGGTCTGATAAATTTTTAGTGTCCTCTGGGCCCAAAGAAACACGGATTTCAGGCCACACGGCGAGAGACGGAAGGTCAGGTCCCGCTGTGTGGAGGAGGAGACCAGCTTCCGAGCCCCACTTCGGGTTGAAGTCAGAGGCAGCCTTGCTGGGGCCAAGCAGGCGCAGATGAGGGACAGGGTCCCCTTTTGGGAAGGCAGAAAGTTTTGGAAGGTCCCCTGGTCACCAGGTACCATCACCCCCGAAGTGTGGAAACAGGCCTTGCCCGGGCCGCTGGCTTTCGGATCTTTGGAGCCTCCACCTCCTGTGTGCTGCTCCGTCCTGGGGCTCCCTGTATGTCCATGAGAGAGGAGAGGGGGACCCAGAGGCCACCAGGCGGCCCCGGTTCCGTAAATCTTCACAGAGGTCAACATCTGAACCATGGCGGGGCTGCTTCTGTGTAGAATTTTCAATTCCAAAAACAAAGAAGAATAATTTAAATTCCAGGCAAAGGAAGTCGCCTGGCAAAGAACCCCGCAGAGCACCCTCCCCGCCTGGCTGCAGGCGCTGGGTGCCAGAGAGAGCGGACTCTGGCCCTCCGGGGCCAAGTGAGGTCTCAGTCACCGCTGAGGTCCCCAGAGCAGCGGGTGGGACACGACTCCTGCACAATGACTTCAAGATTTGTTAGGCAAATAAGCTGGGCCCGGTGGCTCTCACCTGTCATTCCACCGGCAGAAAGCTGAGGCAGGGCGGTCACTGCGAGTGCGTGGCCAGTGTGCTCCATAGTGAGACCCTGTGTCAGAAAACAAACAGCAAAATAGAAAATAGCTTTGTTAGAAAAGCAGCTCTACCTCGGGACGGGCTCCGGGCCTGGCCCAGGAGCAGGGCTGGACCCTGCTTTCCCTGGCCACAGCTGGCAGCCTGGCTGGGGCAGCTCCCTCCCAATCCTGCAGGGCTCAGGTTACCCAGCTAGGCAGAGCCTGCAGCTGGGGACGCGAGGTCACTACCGCTCTATTATGGGATGGAGGGGAGGGGGCGCAGAGGGTGTGGAGATTCTGAGCTGTGCTAGCCGATCCTGGTCAGCTCCCCCTCCCAAAGAGCCCCCTCAGATGTTATGCGTCCTTCCAGCCTGCGCCGGCTCCCAGAAGCCTGGCTGCACCATCCTCCCCTTGCTCTCCTGCTTCTTCCTGGGATGTGTGGCCTGTTGTGACCCTAGGATCCTCCTGCCTCAGCCTCGCGGTGCTGTGATGACAAGCGTGCAACCACCAAGCCAGGCTGTAGAGTTTGACTTGTGGCCTAGAAAGCCAGGTGCATGTCCTGGGCCCCTGGGCGTGACGGAAATTACCTAGGAGAACTTACTGAGGAAATTTCCAGTTTGTCCAAGGTGACAGCCAGTACCTGGAACGCAGCCCTGGCGGAGAGGAAGCCCTGCTTGGCCACACAAGGGCAGCGGCCAAGGTCCCTGCTCAGTGGTGAGGCCCAGACAGTGGCTGTGCCCCAGGGGCACGGGTGGACCAGATGCCTGTCCTGCCCACCTGAGACGGCAGACACCCTCCCTCTGCCATATAGGATGGGAGACAGGGCCAGGACTTTGCCCAGGGTGGCCACCACAATGACTTCAGAGGCAGTCACCCTGGTCTTGGCCCCTTTGATGGCCCTGAAAATGTGATCAGCACTGCCAGGCACAGTGGCATACCGCTGTTGTCCCAGCAGCAGAGAGGCAGAGACAAGAGGATCTCCTGGAGTTCAGGTCCAACCTGAGCTACATAGCAGCGAGACAATGGAATAACTGAAAACTTCTGCAGAAACCAGCCTGGCCTGTCTGGTGCTCACCATCCCGGATGATGGGAAACAAAATTGTTTTTCTTTTGTTCTGTTTTGTTTTTCGAGATAGGGGCTCGCTTTGTAATCCAGGCTGGTCTCAAACCCACAGCGATCCTCCTGCCTCAGCCTCCTGGGTGCTGGGATGACGGGCATGCACCACCCGGCCCAGCCTCCCCATTCTTCTGTTTTCTCATATCAGCCGTTTGCCAGTTGTTTTCATCTTCTCGTTAATTTATTTTTCACGGTCACCAGTCGGTGTTTGACCACATCCAGTGCCTGACCTCCACTTCTGCTCTCGGATTCTCTGAGCCCGCCTGGGGGTGGGGGCGGGGCCAGGGCGAAGCAGAGAACTCAGCTCGCGGTGGGGCGCGCTTGGCCGCCTGGACACAGCTTAGGCAGAAGCACAGAGAGGGCGACGGCAGCAGGGCGACGGGAGTGATCGCGTTTGTCTCTGCAGTGGAGGGAGAAGCACCCGCGCCGGCGGAGAAGGACGTAGTGGTCCAAGAAGGGGACTGTGCAGCGCGGCTGGCGTAAGCTGGGCGGCAGCGCTCGCTCAGTGCGCATCCTGGTTACCCGCGCAGTGCGGGCGCCCGGCGCCTGCGGAGCTCGGGCTGGGGCCGCAGCCGGTGACGGTCCCACTGCCTGCCGGCCTCTCCTCCTCCCCGGTAAAGCTCCGAAGCCACCGAGTCTCTAGCCAGCAGGTCTATCCAGGCCTCCCCTGCTAGCTGCTAGCTGCGCTCGGCCTCAGTTTCCTCCTCTGGAAAGTGCGGCGAATCCCCCTGGTAATCAATGGTCCTGCGGAGATAAAGCTGAGATCACCGCGGTCCTTTCAGCGGGGAACATCAGAGGGACCGACCAGGCGACACGGGCGTGGGACGCGCGCCACTGTGCGCGTGCAGGCACCCGGGGCTCAAGAGGGAGGGTGGGGTGCACGGTGGCGCCGCCCTCGACCTCGCCACCTCCTCCGCCCGCCTGGCTCTCCGAGGCCCGGCCTCGCGCAGTCGGCACAGTGGTCACCGGCCGGGCTGCGCTCCGGGATGACTGCGGGCGGGTGAGTGAGCGTCCCCAATGCAGCCCGCGCCCGGCCCCCCAGGGGGCGCCCACAAGCACAGGGCCGCGGGTGTTCTGGTACAAATCTGGGACCCAGTCTCGGGGGCGCGAGAAGGGGAGGAGGGGGCGACACCATCCGTTCATGTCCCGGGCTCAAGGCAAGGTGGGGCTCGTGCTGCGCACAGAGCTGGGGCGCAGAGGCAGGAGGGTCCCCGGGGCGTGGAGCCGCTGCTTCCCGTAGTTTTGGAATCCAGAGGGGGCGGAAGGCGGGGTTTTCCAGCTCTGCGCAGCCTGGAGGCCGAGCGGCCGTCTCTCTCCGTGGTGGCGCGCGCCAAGGAGCCCCTGGGGGTTAACCTCACGCGACCGGGGTGCGGGCGGGAGTGACCAGCGTGAATTCAGCTTAGCTTTACATTTTCACCCACACGAGGGACAGCACCCGGGCTCAGCCTTCTGCAGAGGGCTGAGCTCGACTGTACGACCCTCGTGCCTCGGCCTCCGGAGAAGCTGGTGTTCTGAGCTTCTGCACCCCACCTGGTGTAAATTAACTTTGATAAACTACAAAGCAAGCTCGGAAATAAATATGCGTCGTGCTCGCTTTTAGACGCCCCTGCGTTTTTCTTTTCTTTGCTTTTTTCAAGCTCTAAGGTATATTAAATATTGACAAGGAAGTCATCTCGGGAAAACGCAGACATGCAGTGCAGGAAGGAGGGGTGACGTTTAGCGCGCGTATAGAGGAGTTCGTGGCCGGCCGGGTGGGGCCCGGCCTCAAGGGAGCCGGGAGCCGCAGCCTGGGGCTCCCGAGCCTCCTCAACCAAGCCGGTCAGGAAGGTGGGAGTTGCGGCTTGGTTTGGTTTGGTCCTGGGGTTCGAACCCCGGACGTTTCCTAAATCAGACAGGTCCGAGCTGCATTTCCAGTTCCCAAAGATCCTACACCCCCGCGGGTCGCTTTGTTATTTTTAGATTACTTTTTTGCAGTACTGGGAAATTGAACCCAGGGACGCACTGCTGCTGAACTCCCTCGCCCCAGCCTCAGGTTTTTATTTATTTTTAAGGTTTTATTTTGAAATAGCCTTGGTAGGTTCCTCAAGTGGAACTTAAATCTGTAATCCTCCTGCCTCAGCCTCCCTGAGTGCCGGGATTAGAGACCACTCTTCTGAGATCTCCCAGAGCGGCGGAATGGAAGTAACCGATGCTCAGGAGCCCTCGGGCCGGGACAGGGACCTGACGCTCTCAAGGCCCCTGATGCCTCCGCTTCCTTTGGGCCTTGAGGAGCTGGGAGCCAGCAGGGCTGGCAGCTGCTGTCGCTGGGAGGTTTTTTCTTCCAGGATCTCACTCTGCAGTTCAGGCTGCCTTGAACTCACATGATAGCCAGACTGGCCTGGGACTTGATCCTCCTGCCTCAGCTTCCCGAATACTAACGATACAGGGATGGTATCTCGAACCTCCAAAATGAGTCAAGAGAAATACCGTAACTCCCGACCCGCCAGGTGTCCGAGGCTCCGAGTTCCTGCTCCCTAATACCACAGAGCGGATTCCAGGCACAATGGAGGCTGAGCAGGAAAAATTTATTGGGAGAGCTCCTGTGGAGGGACAGGAGAGGACCACACACCCCACGTCTGGGGGGAGCTTTGCAGAGCACAAACACTCGGGTACAGCGTGGGCTGCAGCCATGAGAACCCACAGAGTCAGGTGCAGCCGCTTAGGGGACGCTGACCGGAGGGGAAGCCGGTCCGCAGGGGCAGGCAGGGAGGGCACCAAGGACTTCTCCGGCAGGCGAGGGGTCGGGGTCCTGGTCACCCACTGAGGTCTCGGTCCGAAGTTCCGGCTGGCCTTGATGTCACTATGTGGCCCAGACTGGCCATGACCTTGTGGCGATCCTGTGCCTGGCCTCTCGCGGTGGTGCCCACGCTGGCTCTTTTGTAGTAACTTTGAGCCGCTGCCTCCAGCTGGGGTGTCTCTGCCCCAGTCACTGTGCTTTCTGCCTTTTGTCCTGGCTTATTTGAGGGCCTGGCGCCACCTGGCTGCCTAGGATGTGCCCGCATGCTTAAGCCATCTATGGCTGGATTGAGGGCGTGGCACCAGCTGGGCAACGCCATGCGTTTCAATGAAAAATGACCAGGATTGACCGAGGGCCTGAATGGAGCATTTACTTCCTCATCACTGAGTCTCCTGGTGCTGCCTCCTACAGCAAACCTCGTCACCTCCTGCCACCTCTCCTGCCGCTGAGGAGGACCCCGAGGGTGCAACAGGAGTCTAACCTACTTTTTTATTATTTGTGGCACCGGGGATCGAACTCATGCCCTCGCTGAGACCCGGCTACGATTCGCCCTTCAGGGGACAAACTGAAGGTCACAGATTCCTTTTATTACACCTCCTTTTGAGGTATAATAAAACCTTTTGAGGGTTTTGAGGTTTTATTATACCTCAATCCAAGAGCCTTACTGGGCAGGGACTGACAGCTTTCTACCTGGAAGCCAACACTGAGGCCTCCTAGTTGGCAGTAGGGAATTCTGGTTATTCTGGGGCCAACCATCCTGCAGATAGGGAGCTGTGGGCTTTTTCTTTTTTAAAAAAGTGTGTATTTGTGTGTTTGTGTTTTTTTGAGAGAGTGTCTCACTATGTAGTCCAGGCTGGCCTCGAGCTCCCAGTGATCCTCCTGCCTCAGCCTCCCCAGTAATAATTCCCAGGGATAATTCCCACCCTACTAGACATTCAGAATGCTGAATTCTTGCGGGGAGTGAATTCCAGGAAGAACAGAGGTCGGAGAGAAAGAATTCAGTGAGAGGAAGAAAGCTTCTGCCCAAGAGGGACAGCAGGGTCCCAGAAAGTGGGCTGCCCCCAACCCCACTTTTCAAGGGTGTTTTAGTGAGCACAGCCACGAGGTGAGGCGGGCTCAAGGGGGACCAAGCTGTCGGCCACTAATAAGATCACCAGGACGGTCGCTTAGGTCATTTTGGCCCCTTGGGAAGCCACAAGGTGGGACAGAACTAGGTCCACCAGTGAGCTCACTACAAGTACAGCGCTTGTGAAGATTGATGCAATGGGGATCAAATGGGGACGCGGGTCACTTAGCCAGCTCACGGGGCGGACCAGGACTTTGCTGGGAGGGGTGGGTGAGGGGGCTTGGACCCACAGGCGCTGGCTGCCTGTTTGGGGGAAGCAGTCACTGCTCCTCCCCTGCAGGGAGAATGGGGTGAGCGGCTCCTCTCCCCCAAGCCCGGCCCCCAGTGCCTGCGTCTCCAGCCACTGCGTCGGGGCTCTGAGCTCTCCAGGGCAGCGTGCCACTGCTCCCGCAGTGCCCACCTAACCTTGCTGGCTAGTCCATAAATACCACTGTGTTCGGAGCCTCTGCCATGGTCTTTTTCCTTTGCTGCCCTGGAATTGGAGCCCAGGGCCTGGTGCCTCTGAGCAAGTCCTGTATCCAAGTCACCCTGTTCCGCTCCCAGATTCCTAGGAGTCATTTCAGTTCTGTGGCACCCCTGGCTCGCCTTGACATTTAGTTTTCTCTGTGCAGATACCTTGTAAAAATTCTGAGCTGAGTGTGGTGGTGCACGCCTATAATCTTGACACTCGGGAGGCTGAGGCAGGAGGATCCCTGTGAGTTTGAGACCATCCTGAGCTACAAAGTGAGCTCAAGGCCAGCTGGAATTGCACAGCGAGACCCTGTCCCAAACGACAGTAAATAAATAAATGATAGAGCTTTGATGCCTATTTAAATATTTCTGTCTTTCTCAACACAGGCCTTTGTTTTCGGCTGGCTTTAACTTTGCTTGAAAGGTGATCTCCCTGTGTGGCCCAAACTGGGTTTGAACCCTCTACCCTTCCGACTTAGTTACCTGGGGAGCAGCCCAGATTATGGGCCTGCACCGAGGTGCCCGCTGTCTCACCGGGCTCATCTCTGCTGCATGATTCCCAGAGGGATTACTGCCATGAAGCACATGGAAGTCCTGAAGTTAATTATTCTGTTGGCTTGTTAGTCGCTGTGGTTTGGTCTGGTATTTTGAGACAGGGTCTCACTGCATAGTTCAGGCTGACACTGACTTTTCCTCACTATGGAGTCCAGACTGGCCTCAAACTTGAGGTGATTCCTCTGGCCTCAGCCTCCCAAGTGCTGGGAAGAAGCGTGTGTTACCACGCCCGGCTGATTGTAAAGTTTATTTCTAAGCAAAAGACAAGGCTTGGTCACTTGGCTTCCACTGGGTGCACAGGGCCAGGCTGCCCCTTCTGGGGACAGGAGACCCCCTTCCCCGCCCGCAGCCAGGAAGAAGCTGATTGCAGGCTCTGGGCAGCTCAGGTTCCGGCTCAGCCTCTGAGGGGACGGGGCTGGTCGTGTTCTTTCCTCATTTTGCTGTTTGACTTGGCTTCGTGGTGCGGTGGCTTTTCCGGTCCTGGGCACTGAACCCAGGGCCCTCACACTGAGCTACACCCCAGCCCTGCTTGTGTTCTGTTCTTTATTCAAGACGGGGTCACACTAGGGGCTAAAGCTGGGCGGGAACATTTTTGTTGTTTTGCGGACCTGAGTAGAAGTTTGTTTTCTGAACTTTGGGTGATTCAGGTCAGGATGTGGTGGCTGCAGGTGGTGGCCTGCAAACCCCAGTGTCATCCTGTGTCTAAGGCTTGGGTCCCTGCTAGAGGGGACTGCTTGCTGTCACCCGGGGTACCCCTGCGGCCACCAGGGCTCCATCCCCAGCCCCAAGTGCACCCGCACTGCCTGCGGATTCTGTTTCCCCTCTAACTCCAGGAGGCTGTGGACCCCCAGTGGGCAGCCCGGCCGGCACTGGTCCCGGGGAACTCAGTCTGAGCTGGAACTTGTGACACTCCTGCCTCAGCCTCCCAGAGCGGAGCAGTGACATGCCCATTCTTTGGAAACGTTTGTCAGACGCTCAGAAACTTGATCATTTTTAAGTTGTTTTAGCTATGATAACCAAGCATTGTTATCTTCCAAAAATTACTAAATCCAAGGGCCTATTCTATGTGTTCTGGGGGGATAAAGGGCACGTTTTACTAAAAATATTTAATTGTTTCCTCCCACACTTTCCCAGGGCCTGAAGCTGAGCCTCTGAAAATAAGCATTCCATGAATGAGAGGCCTTTTGGGTTTTTGGTTCTAGAAGACTGAGAATGTGTACTTCCACACCGCAAGGCTGAGGGCAGAAGGGTCCCGTAAACCTGGTTAAAGTCTAACCCCGAGCTATCATGGTGCCGTTCCCTGAACAAACGCAGCACTGCAAGCTTAAAGTGGGTCAGGAAATTACTCGGATCCGGGCGGCAGCCTTGAAAAGACCCAAAGAAGGAGTGGTAGCCGGTCTGCCCTGAGAGCCTCCCAGGTCTTGGGATTTGGGTTCTGTACGGTTGGAAACATAGGCAACTATCGGAGTATTTTGGGGCTTGATCTCACGAGATTTCTCTCTCATTGGCTTGTTGGTCAGTTGGTCTGCTTTGTTTTGTGTTTGAGAGAGGATCTCACCGTGTAGCCCAGGCTGGTTTAGAAGGCCTGGCGATTCTCCTGCCTCAGCCTCTCCACATGTCTGCCACCATCCCTGGGTGGTTAGTTGGTTTTGAGCCAGGGTCTGGCTCTGTAGCTCAGGCTGGTCTCAAATTCCTGGGCTCAGGTGATCCCCCAGTACCTGGGAGGACAGGCGTGGTCCACGCCCCCTTCTAGGTCTCCTCTGTAGGAACAGGATCCTAGTGCAGGAATGGACACAGAGATGGAGAAAGTGCTGGCAGCGACCTGAGGTTGGTTGCCGGTCTGCAGGGCGGGCATCTGGGAAGCAGTCCAGATGCAGGATGGCCTAGGGGAAAGGAGGAGACAGAGCCTCAGTATGGAGCCCAGGCTGGTCTCCGACACGCCGCAATCCTCCTGTCTCAGCCTCCCAAGGGCTGAAATTACAGATGGGGCTGCTTTGAGAGTTTCTAGACATTTCCACAGCTGGATCCGAGGCTGCCTTTGGAGGGCACGTGAGGCTACGTGACTGAACCATTTCCATTTTATTGCGGCTGTATGTACTGACCGGGGCTGGCTTTTGCAAACATTCAAAGATCTCTTTCACAGACTGTGCATTGTGTCGGTGTGTTCTCTGCTGCTTTTCACACACTGCTCACACACGCACGCACGCACGCACACAGAGCTGGATCTATCCAGGGGCACTGGGAGACCAGGCTGGGGCTCACCATTGTGCTACACCCGGCCTGCTTGGTACATCTTGAAACCTGATCTGTTGAAAAAACAAATGAGAGACATCCTAGCACTGAGGAGGCTGAGGCAGGGTGATTGCCGTGAGTCTGAGGCCAACCTGGGCTATACAGTGAGACTGTGTTTCAAAAAAACAAAAAAGAAAGAAGAGGAGGAATAGGAGGAGGAGGAGGAGTACTTAGTGCTAGGAAGCAGGGATGCGCCTCAGGAGTCCGGTGTTTGCTCAGCATGTGCAAAGGCCCTGGCTCCCTCCCCAGCTTGGGGAGAGAGCTTAACCCTGCTGTTCTGTGTCCCTGAAGCTTTAGGGCCCTATGGCTCCTCAAGAGGTTGGTGCTGATCCTGGGACTCAGCCTTGGTGTCCTTGTCATCATGCTCAGAAGCAACATCCTTCAAGTGATGCTGGCCAGCCCCGAGCCTGAGCACCTGCCGCCCACCCTCGATGCCCCTGTCCTCAGCCTCCTGCCTGAGCAGCATCTCCGGGGCCTGTTCTCCCTCAGTGGGCTCTGGTGAGGTCCCGGGGTCCCCTCCTCCTGGCTCCTCCTGTGGTGTCCTGGCCCTTGGTGCTCTTTGTTTGTTGTGTTGTGGCTCGGGACAGGGTCTTGCTCTGGCCTCCTGCTCACAGTGATCCTCCTGCCTCAGCCTCCAGTGCTCTCTTGCTGTTTTCAGGCTGTTCCCTAAAAACCAGTGCACATGTGCAAACACCCAGAGTCGAGGAGGATACAACTTCCGGAGCGCCTACAAGGAGAAAGACCTCCCCGCCGTGGACGCCAGGAGGCAGGCGGAGTACAAACACTTCCAGAGAAGGTGACAGGGCCGGGGTTGCTTCCCTGGGGTGGGGAGCTGGGGGTGCAGCTGGTAGAATGATCCAGAACACACAGGCGAAGGAAATGAGGGCTTTGTCCTTTCAGGACAGCTTCCAGGGCTCTCCAGGTATAAAATATTTCATTAGGCAAAAGGTGGCCTGGCCAGTGTGAGATTGGGAGTTTGATCCCCGGTACAAGGAAAAAAACCACCCAAAAGGTGAAGGGTGCAAGTTTGAGTCTCACTTGGACAACTTAGACCTTGTGTTAAAATAAACATTTTTAAATTTTCTTTTTGTGGGGGCTGGGGATTTAGCTCAGCGGCATAAGCACCTCCCTTGCAAGCAGGCAGTCATGAGTTTGATCCCTGGTACCGATAAAAACAAAAAAGACCAAAAAAAATTTTTTTTCTTTTTGTACCGGGAATCAAATTCATGCCCTTGTGCATGCCACGCAGGCCCTGTGGCACTGAACTGTGTCTCCCCGCCCCAAGCTCTGTTTTATTTGAGAGAAAGTCTCTCTATGAATTCTAGGCTGGCCTTGAACTCACTGTGTAGCCCAGGCCGGCCTGAAGCTCATAGCGATCTTCCTGCCTCAGCCTCCTAGTGCTGGGATCACAGGTGTGTGTCACTGTGTCCTCGGACTGTGCTTTTAAAAATGTGTTTTTAGGGCTGAGGGTTTAGCTCAGCGGCACAGCACCTGTGGCAAATGAGAGGCCGTGAGTTTGGTACCATAAAAAAACAAAACAAAACAACACAACACAAAACAAAACAAAACAAAACTGCTTTGCTGTAAATCAGCTCAGGCCTTCCTGGCATTTGGGATGGGGAGGAGGCGGGCGTGGCTGCACCGGATGGGGCTGGGGCCTCGCTCATGGCCGCTTCTCCACAGAGAGGGGCTACCAGAGCCCCCGCCGCTGCTGGCCCAGCCCAACTTGCCCTTTGGGTACCCGGTGCACGGCGTGGCTCTGATGCCCCTGCACACCACGCGCATCCCAGGTAGGCGCAGCTTCTCCTGAGACAGCGCCCTCGCGCGACGGGGACCGCGAAGAGCTGAAGGAAGCGGTCGTTCTTGGGGTGCAGATGTGTGTGCCTCTTGGGGCGAGGCTGGCTTCAGGGACACAGCCTCCTTGCTGGGGGTGTCAGGCCCCTGATTCCTATCCCTAAGGGTGATTCCTTCTGCCACCTGGCAGGTGCCGCTGCCACCTCCCCTGAGGCGAGGTGACTTGCCGGGGCCTTGCGTCCTCACAGGAGGACACTGGGGCCTCGGGAGTGACCGCCGACAAGTGCCAGGGAGGTGACGTTCAGAGGGGCTCTCGGGGATGCGTAGGAGTCGGCGAGGGAGGGGAGAGCCCTGGGGGCCTCTCTGATGGCAATTCTGTCCTCCCTTTCCGTGGCCCCCAGGTCTCCAATTCGAAGGGCCAGAAGTCCCAGTCTATGAGGTAAGCACCCCATCTCCAGAGGACAGGAGCACCCCAGTCCCGGGTTCTGCTGCTGCTGGTCCTGTGGCCGCCACAGTACCCCGAGGGCGACTCAGGGGTGGAAAATTCGCTGGTTTGGCCCCCCCTCGTCTCAGCCCAGGGCACGGGGGGTGGGGGGGTCCCTGCCGGGGGAGTAGAGCTGCTCACCCCACGTGCTGGTGAACAATAAGCAGAGAGAGGGCGAGCGGGGGACAGTGGGACCGAGGAGGGTGCCGCCACCGAGGGCTGCAGCCTGACACCTTCTGTCCTTGTTCGCAGCCCTGGCTGTGCCTGCCGTTCCTGCGCTTCGGGCCCCTTCTTCTCTGGGTTTATCCTTTTTTTTTTTTTTTTTTTTTGTGGTACCTGGGATCGAACTCACGACCTTGCGCTTGCCAGGCAGGTGCTTATGCCACTGAGCTAAATCCCTGGCCCTTATTCATTTATTTTTTTGAGACAAGGTCTTGCTATGTAGCTCAGGCTGACCTGGAACTCATGGAGATACTCCTGCCTCAGCCTCCCGAGTCCTGGGATTTTTTTAAAATCAGGAACTGAACTCAGGACCTCACCTTTGCCAGACAGATGCTGTGTTGCTGAGCTATATCCCTAGCCCCAGAAAATTTACTTGTTTTTTAATTTTTATTAAATTAGTGGGGAGGTGATGTGTGTGCATAACACAGCTTAATTCTTTTTTTTTTTTTTTGTCTTTTTCGTTTTTATCGGTACCAGGGATCGAACTCACGACTGCCTGCTTACAAGGCAGGCGCTTACGCCACTGAGCTAAATCCCCAGCCCCACAGCTTAATTATTTTACATCCCCTGCTTCTCCTCACCTCTTAGTCCCCTTTCTTTTGGCCAAAGATCCTTCTCCCTGTTGCCTACTAATCCACTAATCTGCTGACGGACAGATTGGCCAGTTCCACGCTTCGGCTGTTAGGAGCTGGGCCGCCCTAAACCTGGGTGCGCGCGGGTCGCTGTCACGTGATGTCTTTAACCCTTTGGGGAAGATTCCTGGAGGGGGAACAGCCGCCTCAAGGGGACTTTTCTAGTTTTCATTTTTCAAGGCTGCACCCGGCTGTACCCCGGCAGCAGTGCAGGGGGCCCCTTCCCCCTTCCCCCGCAGCATTCACCGTTACCCAATTTCGGGGTTCCAGCCATTCTTCCTGGGGTGAGGTGGTATCTCAGGGCAGCTTCTGTCTGCACTTCCCTAACGGCCAGGGGTGACAAGCCTTTTATCCTGGCCATCTGTGCTTCGTCGGAGAAGTTCTTTCGGTGCCCAATTTTGATTGCCTTTTATTCTGGGGGGTCTAATTGTTCTCAGTCCTTTGTGTACCCCGGATGTGAGCCCTCCGTAGAGGAGCCGGAAAACCCCCCCCCCTCTTCTGTAGCTCACTCGATGGGCTGTTTCCTTCTTGGGGCTCCAATTTACTTTAAAAAATACACTCGTGGTTATCTGCAAGGTGGTGGGAGGCTGAGGCAGGAGGAGCACGGCTCCCAGGCCATCTTGGGCTGCGCGCATGAATGAAAACCAGAAGCTGCCGGAGTCACAGGTCTAGAAGCAGGCGACCCGCAGGCCTAGGGCCAGGGCTGTCCGAGCGGTCAGCCAGGGGCGGCCCTGGTGCCTCGCGCCCCCGTGCGCGCTGCCCTCTGCTGGCCACACCGGGTAGTGTCCATCTCAGGAAAACAATATCCTCTCACCTCTGCATTTAGCAACCTGGTCTGGAAGAGGGAGCCAAGGGGTTTTGATTTGTTCGTTTTGACACAGGAGCTCACGCTGTAGTCCAGGTTGGCCTCAAAGTTCTGGAAATCTTCCTGCCTCAGCCTCCTGAGTGCTGGGATCACAGGCGTGCGCCACCACGCCCAGGCTGAGTCATTGCTGACCGGGTGTGAAGCTTCTGTTGGGGGTGACAGGGAAGGTCTAGACCTGTACTCACGGGGGCGAACTTGCCCCCTCCCCAGGTCACGCTGACGGCCACTCTGGGGACACTGAACACCCTTGCTGATGTCTCGGACGGCGTGGTGCAGGGCAGGGGCCAGAAGCGGCTGAACATTTCCACCAGTGACCGGAAGCTGCTGAACTTCGTCCTGCGTCACGTGACCTACACAAGCACCAGCTATCAGCACAACCGCGTGGACGTGGGTGAGGCGGCTGCGCCGAAAGCGCTTGGGCCGCGGGGTCTCCCTCCTCCGGGAAGCCCGCCCGGCTTTCAGATTCTTTCCGGGCTGGGTTCCAGCCCCCGGGACTTCCTCTACCCAACAGCACCCCGTAGACTTTTTTTTTTGGGGGGGGGGGTCCTTGACCCAAGCCCAAGCTCATGAGTTCCTGCGCAGTGCTCAGAGCTGTCTTCAAGCCGGGCAAGGTGCCACATGCCTGGCATCCCTGCTTGGAAGAGGCTGAGGCAGGAGGATCACTGCAAGTTTGAGGCTAGCCTGGACTGCATAGCGAGACCCTATCTCAAGGGAATAAAATAATAATAAAAAAAGAAAAGAAGACAACTCAGACCCTAGAATCCCCAAACTCTCCTGACCCCCACACACGCACGCACGCACGCACAGGGGAGGAGACATGAGTTTAGCGCCCCTCAGCCGGTTGCCCCCAGACACCGCACAAGTCAGGATCCCAAACGTCATCGACCCTTAGGGGGCTCAGTGATCCCTGCCACGTCCCCCCCTACCCATCACCCTGGCCTCCTGGGAGGCGTGGCTTTGATCTGCAGAGGCCATGGCGGCTCTGATCGCTTCTCTCCTGCAGTGAGCTTGGAATCCAGGTCTGCAGTCGCCAAGTTCCCTGTGAGCATCCGCTACCCCCCCATCCCCAAGCTGTACGACCCGGGACCAGGTGAGCCCCGATGAAACAGAGCTGGAGGAGTACGGGTCAGAATATAGGTTTGGGGAGCTCAGTAGCACAATCACCTGCCTGGCAAGCTCAAGGTCCTGAGTTCGATTCCCAGTACCAAAAAATCAATCAGTCAATCAATTTATCTATCTATCTATCTATCATCTATCATCTCTGAGATTTGTTTGGAGGAAAGAAATTCTAGCCTGCGATCCCCTACACTGCTCAATTATATTTAATTAAGCCAGACAGGCTTGTCATCCCACTGCTGGGAGGCTGAGGTAGGAGGATCACCTGAGTTTGAGGCCAGCCAGAGCGAGAACTTCTCTCAGAAATAAGAAAGCAGACACAGACTCTGGCTGCCCCAACTTTTGTCCAGAGAGAAAGCTGCGGAACCTGGTGACCATTGCCACCAAGACTTTCCAGCGCCCCCACAAGCTGCAGGCCCTGCTGCGGAGCATCCGGGAGTTCTACCCAGACCTCACGGTGATCGTGGCTGACGACAGTGACCGGCCCGTGAAGATCGATGATCCACATGTGGAGCACTACATCATGCCCTTTGGGAAGGTGTGGCCTCCTGGGCCAAGGTGCTGGGGCCCTCCACTGAGTCCCAGATTCAGAGCAAATCACCCCCATGTTTCAGCATTAATGGGGCAATTGTTCCAGCCTCCTTCAGGAGGCTGAGGCAGGAGGATCTCTGAGAGTTCAAGGCCAGCCTGGGCTATAGATAATGAGATCCCATCTGAAAAAAAGCAAAGTTATTGTCCCTTCACGAGCTTTCCTGAGACCTGGACTCCCCATAACCAGGCCTGGACATGGGGTTTACCCTGTAGGTGATGGTTTCATCTGTCTGGGTGCAGCCTGGCTCTGGGGACCCAGGAATCCCCCCAAGGACCCACAGCGTCTGGTGGAGTGGCGACCACCGACCTGACCTCCTGTTGCTCGTAGGGCTGGTTTGCGGGGCGGAACCTGGCCATCTCGCAGGTCACCACCAAGTACGTCCTCTGGGTGGACGACGACTTCCTCTTCACTCCCAAGAGCAGGATCGAGAGGCTGGTGGAGGTGCTGGAGGGCACGGAGCTGGACGTGGTAAGGGGCAGTGGCCGTGTGCTGGGGGAGGAAGAGGAGAGGAGGAGAGGCCGCAGGAGAGGGGAGGGAGGGGCCGCTGCAGGACGTGGTCAGGGCCCAGCTCCAGCATCAAGAGCGTCACATATGGAATCAGGACAGGCGTGAGTCCTGCCTTCACCTCCAGGGCGGTCCTCCTGCTTCAGCCTCTCCAGTGCTAGTATGACAGTCCTGTGCCGGATACAGTGGAAGGGAGGTGCAGTCCGGGGAGGCTTCCTGGAGGAGGCAGGCTGAAACCCGTCTTTGCGTCCGCCCCTAGGTGGGCGGCAGCGTGCAGGGAAATGTCTTCCAGTTCAAGCTGTTCCTGGAGCAGAGCGAAGACGGGGACTGCATTCACCGGAGGTCGGGGTCCTTCCAGCCCCTGGATGGCTTCCCTGGCTGCGTGGTGACCAGCGGGGTGATCAACTTCTTCCTGGCCCACACCGAGCGGCTGCAGAGAGTTGGCTTCGATCCCCGCCTGCAGCGGGTGGCTCACCTAGGTGGGTGTGAGGACAGGGCGGCTGGGGACGTGGGCCCCTGTTCCCCTTTACCCCGTCTGCGCCTCCCTGCTCACCCTTGCTCTTCCGGCCCTGCCACTCCCTCCCTTCCCTCCTTCCTGCCCTACTAACCCCCTTTCCAGAAAGCCCATTCCATTAAATTGCAATTGGTGGTGGTGGTGCACGCCTGTGATCCCAGCCCTCGGGAGGCTGAGGCAGGAGGATCTCTGTGAGGTCCCGTCCGGCTTGAATCACTAAGCGAGACCCTGTCGCAAAACAACACAGCTGCGCCCCTGCCCGGTCGGGTGACAGCTCCCGTTTCTTCCGTGCTTTGCAGAGTTCTTTATAGACGGGCTGGGCAGCCTGCTGGTGGGCTCGTGCCCGGAGGTGGTCATGGGTCACCAGCCCCGCGTGCAGGCCAAAGACGTGGAGCTGGCGGCGCTGGAGAAGAACTACAGCAGCTACCGGGCCAACACCCGCGAGCAGGTCCAATTCAAACTGGCGCTGCACTACTTCAAGAACCGTTTCCTCTGCTCCACATAAAGCGCAGGCCTGATTGGCTGTGGGCATCTGAGACTACCAATGAGCCGACTCAGGGCAAGCGGATGGGCCAATCAACGTTTACGGGTTATTAGGAATGGACCAATCAGTGATCAGAGCAGCAGGGAGCAAGTAGATTACAAGCCTTTTGGAAGCGTTCGCACTTGGAGACTGGGCTCCTGCGTCCCGCGCTGCAGGACCGGTGGCTGCGGGCGCCTGGCGGGTTTTTCGGTGGGAACCCTCTAAGCCCCAGAGCCGTGGACTCCGGTCCCGCCAACCGCACATTTTCATGTCCTTCTGTCTCGTGGACTCAAACAAAACAAAACACAACTGTGACCAACCAGCCTCATTGCCATAAAGTGACAGCTGGGTCAGCCGTGGTGACAGAAAGTGGACATCTCTTGGGACGAAGGTCGGCAAAGCGGGGTTGGGGAGCAGGCCGTGGGTCCCCCCGGCAACCGGGGGTGGGTGGTGGGGGGCCGTGGACGCAGTTACCCAAGAGTTCTTGAGCGCACAAAACCAGCAGGGAGCCAGGCGCGGTGGCTCACAGCAGTAATCCCAGCACTGGGAGGCTGCAGGAGGATCTCAACTTCAAGCCCAGCCCGTGCAATTTAGTGACTTTGTAAGAGCCTGCTTCAAAATAAAATATTTTTCAAAGGCTGGGGAAGTGGCTCAGTGCGAAGGTCCAAAGTTCAGTCCCCAGTGCCAGGAAAAGCAAAAGGAAACAAACACCTGGACCTTAAAGATAGCCTTCGCCTTGGCTAACTTGCAAACATAAGTGACACCTAATTTGGGTCATTTTGAGTAAATTCTTACGTTAAAAACAAAACTTACTCCCAGCTAGTCACAAGCAGCTAAAGAACATGGGTGTGTGAATTGCTTCTCTCTTTTTTGGTACCGAGGATTGAACTCATGACCATGCACTTGCAAGCAGGCACTTACGCTTCTGAGCTAAATCCTTGGCTGTGAATCCCTGGCTGCTTCTTAATTTAAATAATTTTAAGTAATTTAAATAAAATCCTTAGAACTATATTGTGCCTCTGGTTTTTCTTTCATGATGCTAAAATTGCCAGGCATCCTAGCACACACCTGAAATCCCAGTCCTCAGGGTGCTGAGGCCAGAGGATGGAGAGCTCAAGGCCAGCCTGGACTTCAGAGTGAAACCTGCAACTCTTGGCAATCCTCCTGCCTCAGCCTCCCTGGTGCTGGGATCCCAGGTGTGCACCATATGTCCAACCCTGTTTATGATTTTTGATAAGTGCAAAGTGTTAACACTATCACAAGAAGTGGATCTTTGGGAAACCCTTGCCTGCACCCCCAGAAGCTGGCCCTATGCTGTCCTGTGCCACGACCAATGCGGTTCCTAGGGTTCTTGGGATGAATGACTGCGAGCTGATGAGAAAATAAAGAGACAAGGCTGGGGCCAGGTGGAGTCTGTATCCTCCAGGTGGGAAGAAAGGAACTGGCTCCTCACTGCAGGGATGTTTATTTAAACCTTTTAGCAACTTCTTGTCATGTGGCACTCTGTTGTCCTAGGGATTCACTGTCAGATTGTCGTGTGTGTGTTTAGGCTTCTCTGGACTGAAGCAGCTTCTCCAGGTGGCTGCCCTCGGGCTCTCTTTGTGCTTGGAATCCTCTTGCTCCAGCCTTGCACGCGTGGTCAATTTCCACAACGGCTCCCAACAGTCCTGAACAGTTTCATGGGGTTCCACAGGGAGCCAGGGACCCCAGGCCTCGCCCTGGAGCTCTTTGGGCTCTTGCTAGAACTCGATCCCTTGACATTCACCTCCCAAACCCACATCTGGGGGGCACCAGGCTGACGACACTGTTAGTGGTGCTTGGGGGCCGATGGGGACTTTGAGGGGTACAAACTATCATTGGTCAGGTTTTTTAAGGAAACAAAATTGTCCGAAGTTCCTTAAAGTTTGTATGGTTATGGGCATGGTTGCTACGCCTGTAATCCTACCACTTGGAAGGCTAAGACCAGAGGATCACACTGAGATCTAGCCCAGGCTGGACTACATGGTTTGTTCTTCAAGGCCACCACTCTGGACTACATAGTGAGCCCCTTAAAAGGTTCTTGCCCCAGTATAGTTTACTGTATGGTTATGGTTATGGTGGTGGTCTAAGGTGGCAGAAGGCCAAAGCGGGACCCCCTCCCGCTTCCTCCTTCTCCAGCCCTGATTGCGACTCCCCTTTCTGTTTGTGTGCAAAGAAAATTCCAATCAACTCCTCGCCCGTCATCAATGCCTAACCCTTGTGCCACTTCTGATCAGAGGTCATAGAACCCCCGCCTCTCTGCATCTGGTCTAAGGAGACGGCCCAGCTGCCGTGGGTTCTGTGCTCCTTTCCAAGTCCTCAGTAAACCTGTTCTTTTTTTACTTTCTGCTTTTCTGTTGTGCCAGAAAACTCTAACATTTTGGTACCTTGAGGCCTGGCTGGCGGGGTGCTAGCTCCTGGAGCCCCTCCCAGCCCCAGCTGCTGCCTATGAACCCCCTTTCCTTCCTCGGGGACTGTGGATTTGGCGCCCCTGACCCCCATGCAGCAGCGACCCCCTCCCTCATCACAGGTGAGCTGCCCTCTGGGTTTTCTGTTTCCGCTCCTAGAATCCGCAAGCTTGGGTCAGCAAACCTGTCCTGCCTCCTGGACAGAGACGGCAGTTCTCACGCTTCCTGGCCAGGACAGCCCGAGGCAGCACTGTACCCCTCTTGTTCCCTGGAACCCCACCCCACACTCTTGGGTGATGCCCAGGAGAACGGGTGTGGGGGCTTTCAAAACAGGTGACGGCCCTTTGAGAGGCGTGACCAGGACAGCGTCCACAGCTACAGCTCTTCCGTCCTGAGCCAAGTTGTTCTCCCAGCTCACTTCTAATTTGGTCATGGGGGCCACATCCTGTCCCCCAAAAACACCTCTGGGGTACTGGTTCGTGACCGTGGTGCTCTCGGCCTCTAGAAGGCCATGAAAGCCCCAAGCTGTCCTGTCACTGATGCTTTCATCACAGTGGCGGCAGGAAGCTGGCAGGACCCCTCCCGGCCTGTGTCCCTCTGGGGACGGGTCCGTGCCCCCCTGTCCCTTGTGGGGGCCCTAGCGCCTCTGGCCCACGCTGCCCCTCCAGGGTCCCCTGCCTCCCACCGGACCCCTGAGATGAGGCGGCCCTGTCTCCAGGTCCCCACGCCCAGACCCCGCGGTCTTCTCAGCCACAGGTCTCTGAGCCCCGTTTCCTCTCCCCTTTCCTCACCCCTGCACTCTTCTCTACTCCCTCTCCAACCTCAGACTCCTCACCCCAAGCCATTTATCCCCTCGGGTGGCCCTCTTCTTTTTCCCCCTCTGCCCCCACGTTGTCATTCTCCCCGCTGTCCCACTATACTCGGTCTTGCCCATTTCAGCCACCTGGCAGGCCACATAGTATTTGACCGCCATCTTGGGCCCCATACCATATGGTCTTCAGCAGCCATCTTGCTGCAGCTCACATGGAGGACAGCCGCCATCTTGCGGCCCTCTGCCACAGGATTGTGTGCTGCCATCTTGTAACGGGTCAGGGTAAATGGCCGCCATCTTGGAGTCCTCATCATGGGATCAGCAGTGGCCATCTTGCTGCAGGTCACGTGATGACCAGTCGCCATCCTGTGCTCCCTCATCATGTAACTGGTAGCAGCCATCTTGTTGTGGGTCTCATGGCAACCAGTTACCATTTTGTGTTTCCTTCTCCCATGGTGACCAGCAGCCATTTTGTGGTCAATCACCCGGTAATTTCCCACAGACACCTGCTGGGGGGTTGGCAGCTCAGTGGCCATCTACACCTTCTCCTCCACAGCTTTCCCGGCCTCAGACCATTTCTCCCTATTCCCAAGGGGACAGGCTGATCCCAAGGGACCAGTTCATATCGTGTTCTTTTCCCCTTCACCGACCTGTCCGGAGTAGCCATACATTAGGTTCCTTTTCTGCTATTCTTATTTCAAGAGATCTCTATTAATTAAAATACCACCTGGTAACTTTAACCAGCTCTTGTTCATTAATTGGAGACCCCCAATAATCTCTATAGCTTTATAGGAGACACCCCAACTTAAGTCCATATGACTAACACAATTCATTGTTGCTGATCTGATGGTATATTCATGCCTGCAAATATAAAATTGGGATTTTTTTATGATGACAAATATTTTCTTTCAGATCCAGACGTCTGCTTTTTTCTTGTGGTCCAGCCAAGAAATCCAAGTCAAACCAACATGAGTTCACCAGTCAAATGATAATTTTTAAACAAAAATTTATGTAATGTCCATCAACAAGAGGACCTAAGAGCTGATGAGTTACAAATGCTATAACCTAAAAGCAGTTTCTAAACTTAACTGTCAGCCTACTGCTCATGTTGTGATTACATATGCTTTGGGCTGGGGATTTAGTTCAGCGGCATAAGCACCTGCCTGGCAAGCATGAGGTCATGAGTGTGATCCCTGGTACCACAAAAAAAAAAAAAAGATTATACATGCTTTGATTAAAGTTTGTTCTTGCTTAAAAGGTGCCAAACCCCAAGGCATCATACAGATAAAAACAATGACAAATATATTAAATTCCTTTTAGATTCCTTTTACTGGGATCCACCAGTCCTTTTCCGGAAAAAGGTGATATGATGCATAATGAGGCCATAATTAATTATATTCAACTGGCCTTAAACGACACCGCAGCTGATCTCTCTCCTAAATAAAAAAGGTAAAGTTAATAAAACAGGGCACCCTCCAAAATCAGATGGAAGTAGATATTCTAACAGCACAGGAGGTCCTTATACAATTGTAAAAACTAAATGTGTGTATGACAAATGAATGACATGTCAGTTTCTATAATCCCTGGACCTTATCCTTATCTCCTTATGGGAAGCCATTACTAAAATTATACTCATCAATACCCTGTTGGTTGTATTATTTGACTCCTGCTTAATTGATTCTTTGCCTTTATCTCCTCTAGACTTAAAGCTGTACACCTACCCAAGATAAAAACTAGATGTCTTGTGACCTTGGAGGAGACTGATAGCTCCTGCTGTGGGCCAGATCCCAAGACAGAAGGCTAAACGTGGCCCTCAAACCCCACAGGGAGACCTTCTTAATATGGCTTTTCGTGTTTTGCAACAACAGAGATAAAAATCAAAAGGAAAAATAACAATCTGATGTTTAGCAGTGACACTTGGAGCTCTGAGTCTGGTAAAACAAGACAAGGCGGAGCTGCCCGAGCCCCTCGCGGACCATGCTTCAAGGGTGACAAAAAGGACTCTGGAGAAGAGAATGCCCCTTCTGCAACCTCACGGGCCACTGGAGGAGCCACTGTGCTAGCCGCCAGAGAGCAGGTGAGCCGTCCTCTAAGTCCTTGCCCTCACAGGAGATCTCGTCACCACTGCATCGCTGGATTGATGGGGCTCGGGCCCCACAGCCCCCATTAAGTGTCCTTCTCAGAGCCCAAGTTCACTGGAGGTATCAGGTAAGACATTCTCTGCACTTGTGGACACGGAGGCCATGTACTGTGTTCTTCCTGATTTTCAGGCCCTTGTATGAAGTCCTCAGTCTCTGTAGTGGGTGTTGACGGCCAGCCTACACAGCCCCTGCAGACTGAGCCCGTTCCAGGCAGGTTCCAGACCCTGTTTACCCACAGCTTCCTAGCAACTCCAGCATGTCCCACACCCGCTTTAGGTGGGGACTTAACGTCTCCTTCACCGGCTCCCTCCCCACAGCTCTCCTCCTCCAGACACCCTCACAGAGTGCTGCACAGCCATCCCCTCCCCTCCCTTCTTCTCTGGTCATCCCATAGTTTGGGGCACCTCCAACCCCATCCACACTACCCATGCCACGCCTGTTTTAATTCATCTCGGGATCCCTCAATGTTTCCTCTCCTCGCGTTCCCCAATATCCCATAGCTCCCAAACATTTACAGGGACTTAAACCTATACTCAAGCGACTTTTAGACAATGGTCTTCTTAAACCTAGCCATTCACCTTACAATACTCCTATTCTCCCGGGACTCAAGCCTAAGGGGTCCTGTGGTCTG